TATGTGCAACTTGGTGCAACTATACATATAGGAAACTTATAGAAGACTCATTAGATGCAGTTTTGATGGTGACTCGGTGGAAACTTTAAAATGAATTAAGGGCCGGTTGTACAATATAGCGATAAACTTCCCGACAGCGTTATCTGGCAGATAAGTTAGTTTGTACTGTATTACAATGTACGGATATTTTTGTCGGTGAGATTATCGGCAGGATAACTTATCGGGTACTCAGCGGTGCCGATAAGACACTTATCCGGCAGATATTTATGGTTACCAAGGTTTTTATATAAAAACTTTGTATGATTATTGCATAGGTTAACCTCTAACATTAAACGTTAACCTTATATGTACGATGTGTCAGTGAAAATTTTTTTAAACAATTTATATTGTCAAAATCATAATTCAAACTTCAAAGAAAGACGTTGACGTTACCATTCTACGGCATAAATCACTAGATATGGGGAAAAACTACTACCAACCGACTCTTGTTTCGCCGATAGCAATCCTACCGACAAAAACAGTTTGTACAACAGCGAATATCTTTATCCTCCTGATAAGTTTATCGGGCGGATAGATATCAGGTAGGTTTATCGGTATATTGTACAACCGGCCCTAAGTATTATATATATTATGTATGTATAAAAACAGAATTTAATTTTTTTAAATTTAAGTTATAACAATATATTACAAGTAAAAATAAAAACAAATATTTTATAATTTTGATTTTTATTACAAACGTAAAACTTCCCTAAAAATACTCCACTTCCTATTAAATATTAACACTAATAAGTTTAAGATACACACTATTTAGTGATATTTTGTCAATTAATAGAGTAAAATTAGAGCGAATTTTTAATAATTTACACTGATTAGATTAGAAATGTATCTAATTAGAGTCGCGACAACATCTAGTTAGATTACATATAATACACTGTTATAGAGTAACGATTTTACAGTATTTAATAAACACCATCTTCTCACTATTTAGTGTAAATTTTTAATCTATTCACCTACACTATATAGTGCAAAAAAATAACTCTAAATAAATTGGACCGATCTGAACCATGTTTTAGAGTTGATTTTTACTCTATATTTTTTCCTGTGTGTTCTATTTTTCTTCTTCTACTACCTTTCCTGCAATCTTCAGGATTGTGGTAATTTGATAAAACGTACATGTTATCTTTCCATTTTACTGCAAATTGTTTTGTATCATTTGTGTACCAGTCGAATTCATCTCTTTGGAGCTGCTTGTCCATTTTAAAATTAGGTAAATACTTTCGAAACACATTCACTTAGTTCCACATTGTAAAAAAAATATCAAAAAATATTGTATGGTTTTTTTTTGTTCAAGACCCTCAGAAAACTTGTACACAACCCTAGAACCTAGGCTATGTCCCATAAGTTAATCCGGGATTTTCCAACATTAATATCAAATTTCAAACCGGCTTATCAATCACTGCACCAATAATCTTTGCAACTTGGCCAATGCTTGATCCTCATAAGTAAATTGATTCCTAAAAAGCCATTTATTTCTCCTGTAATGTTATCTAGTACGCATTTGTTCTTCAAGTTTGCCTGAAAAACCTAAAAATAGTTGAAACAGAGAATATGGTGTCGGATTTGAGCTGGTTATTTTATTGATAACTGTAGTTAATTTTTTTAAATTCTTGCTTGAAGTACAGATAAAGGTTTCTTGTCATCTGAATCATTTTCACTGGAATAAATATCAATATTATTTATATCTTCATCTATTTCAATTTTTGCGGCTGCTAAAGTAGGAAAATAATTTTGAATTGGTGGTCTACATTATAGACAATATAGACCATTGCGTTAGTTGGGTGAAAATTTAGGTGGTTTATTTTTTGTACCACTGCATCAGTAAGAGTTAAATGATTTACTTATATAACTTTTTTTTTTGTTATTATCAATACATGTTGTTGTGTTTGTTATGGTTGTTTTTCAATTTCATCATCGTCGTTATTTTCGTTCGTCGGGTCGCGATATTTCATACCCGATGAGCCTCCGGCGAAGAAACTACACCGATCGCGGGCGGCTAATTGCTCTGTCGGCGAGAGAAACGGAATGAAATACTGCGGGTCGCGTTTTAATTGCACCTTGTTAACCGCGGTAGTTGGTTACCCGAAGGATTTGGAAGTCTCAGAACCGCCTTAAGGTAAAAAACCGTTCATCATCCACTTCATATGACTACACACAAGTCAAATTGAATCGTCTTTGTAGAACTAATCAAATAGTTATTATTTTGGTTAATTTTTTTGTTTTAGTTCTTTTATTTCGATCCTTTAATCAATGACCGTGGCAAAACGAAAAATGACGATCCCAGTCTCTTTAACCCCTCATACTAATAATTCCGACTTAGTTGGGTCTCCGAAAAGTGAGTCCCCAAAAGGAAAAGCCGCGGTAATAAGAAAAACGACTTAAAAGAGTAAAGGGCTACGTCGGGGCGTTGACGTATTCGGTGCATAAATCGGTCCCGACGAAAACGGGCTTCAACTGAATCGCCTGGATCCCTTCTGTGATCCGCTGCCGCCGAGCTCTTTCGTATACCAACCTCTTCAACGTTAATAAATAATAAATATTAATAACGGTGGCGGCGGCGGGGCGCACCAAGACTCTCCATGGTGATTTGCGGCCAGGCGGGACCGGGAGTTCAGACTTTGAAAAATTTATCGAACCGACCCAATTAAAACGTTACGCAGATGGCTTCCTATGTTAATTCTTTTTTTAATTAATTGGATTTTTTCTAACAAATATAAGTTAACAGTTAACCAATAAATATCATTCCTAACATTCCATCACTTTCTATCTTCTCTCTGCTGGTTGATCTATCATCATTTGCAGGAAAAGCACACATAGTTATGTCAGTTTTTATGACTACAACTTTTCTACGCATGCACCAGCACTTTAAATTCTCCCCTTCTGTGATACACTTAAAACAGAAACTCTCTCATTTTTTGAGAAAATCTCTCTCCATTTAATCCATTGGGAATTTTGAGATACTTTTTATTTTGACGAACTTTTGTGTTGAATGCACAATTGCAAATCATATTGCTTTTGTGATTTACTCAACTTTCTACTCAAGTGGCATAATTGCTAGTACTGCTAAATAACTGTGGACAGTTCTGCAACTAAAGTATTTAGCATCTGTGGAATATGCCAAATTGTTGGGGATCTTTAGACGGCTAAAATAACAAAATTAAATATCCTAAAAAATCAGGCTTGTCAACATTTTATATGCATTGCAATAAGAACTGCATGGATGTGAACAAACAACAGCAAGCAGTTTACGAGATTACTTTACAGAGCTTCAAAGTATAGTATCCTAACAACCACGAGTCAGTTCACATGCAAGGCGAGGTTATGTAGCTAATCTAGAAGATTATGAGAGTTCGGTGTGAAAATATTTGTTTTAAAACAAGTAAATGCTACTTTGGTGTGGTCGAGACTTAACGTATTCCAATTATTTTTGAAGATATTCAAAATGTCGCCCTGCAACATCAGCACAGCTTCTAATTCTGCGTTAAAAGAAAGCCCGGTCTCTTACTCAAACTTTTTAAGTAGCCCCATAAACAAAAATCTGCGTGATTCAAATCTACAGATTGTGCATGCCATGAAATGAAATTCCATCTCCCAAGAAATGTGTTATTTATATCTCTGATTTAACAGCTTTAAAGTTGATCCTAACAACCTGTCTCCTATGATGCCTAACCAAATGTTTAGACTAAAACGCTTTTCTGGTGAAACCAGCTTCATTAATGAATAGAATGTTAGTTAAAAAGTCTGGGCGTTCAATAACTTCCCGTAGAAACCATTGACAGAATCTCTTACGTGGTAATACTGAGGAGTGAGAGCTTGCACATATTGAATATGATACGAATAAATGACCTGCTCGTGGAGAGTTCTCCAAACATGTGCTACAACTTGAACCTAAATCATACTAGTTTTGTAAAATTTTTGATTTCTTGGTGAATATCCGACGTCATTAATATTAGTCATATCTATGGGTGTATTGTATATTTATTTTCTTATATGTATGTGGTTTTCTGGCCATAGAGCCCAGCTTGGCTATCACCAGTAGTCTGCCAAAGTCATCAAAGTTCCACTTCAACTATGTGAAGCACTTTGATGCGATTATCAAAGCCACTCCCTAATTGAACTGTTGGATAAGCTTCACATTTAACCATTTTACCGTTCTGCTTTATTTTTCAATTTCTTGCCATCTAACTTGAGCCTAAATCATACTAGTTTTGCAAAATTTTTGATTTCTTGGTGAATCTTTAAGGTCATTAATATTAGTCATATCTATGGGTGTCTTGTATATTTATTTTCTAATATGTATGTGGTTTTCTGGCCATAGAGCGAGGTTGGCTATCACCACAAATCTGCCAAAATCATCAAAGTTAAGAGTACTAACAAGTTGCCTGCACCTCAACCATGTGATGCACTTTGATGCGATTATCAAAGCCGCTCCCTAATTGAATCGTTCTAAAAGCTTTATAATTAAGCATTCTACCGTTCTGCTTTATTTTTCAATTTCTTGCCATCACTCTTGTTTCTGGTAAATACAGAAAAAATGCAGAATTAGAAAACTATTCCACAATATTTTTTCTTCCGTATCTTATTGTCTTATTCTAAATCCCTTTTAAAAAACCATCATCTCCGTGGTAGTCGAGTCCCCACACTGTTTCGACTGTATATGCACCAGAAATAAAACCCATAGGAAAAACAAAAAATTGCTCCTCCTTATATTGAAGAGAGGGGATATCCAAAAATCGACATTGCCAACAGAACGAAATAAAACAAACATATAGACCGGTGGCTGCGTCGAAACGAGGCGTGGTTTCATCGGCACGCCCAACACATAGATGAATCAGGGGAAGCTTTCCAAACGACCAATAGCGTTTTGGGATTGCCGAAAGGATTTCTATATGGGGAGTAGGTTTCTTCGAGGTCCAGTTGAATCTTTGACGTAGAAGCGAAAGCATTGATTTCGTTACAATCAATTTAAAAAAAAAACCAATTAGTAAGCTTGTAAATAAATAATAAAATAAAAGTATATTCATAAAACTGTAGTGAGTGACGAAGATCGTGGGTTTTCAGTGTAATTAACTGTTTCGTGAAAGCTGGATGAAAATAGCGCAACCATCTCCTGTATAATGAAGGCAAGTTTTTTTTGTATATATATTTTTTTGTTTTCTAGTTCTTTTTATGATCGCAATAAAAGAGACAGTGAAGTCTCGTTGAAATCCTAAAACCCACGCAGTATTTACAAACGCCGGTTGATTTTCGATCGTAATTTAGGTGTCGCCGGGCTCGTTTTAATCCCATTTAGGTGCCGGCGAAAAAGGGTACCAGCCGATTTCGATGATTATGCACATATTTATTGGGTAATTTGCATATTGAGTCGCAGCAGGACGCCCGGATTTATTTCCACGGGATCTATTTAGGCCGGACTTTATCGAGACTGCATATAAATAAGCGGTATAAATAAGTTCAAACAAAAGTAACTAAAATAACAACCGATCGGAAAATATTACGCGCTACATAGCAATTTATTGGTATTAACGTTAGCACTCCCATTTAAAACTATGTGTCTAAAGCTAAATAGGAAATACATAAATTTTAAAGTATATTAGTTACTATAAATAAACCTGGATAATTATTTATAGTGTCATTTTAATTTTAAGGGCTAATTATTCTATATTATTGGTAACTTATAGAAATAGAAAAATTTCCTAGGTTAGGAAATATCTTGATTGTGTATTAGCATTTATCTCCAGAATATTTTTAGGTTCGTTATCTTTTCCCCTACGATAGACATCGGTGACTATTTTAGTAATTTTGGCAAATTTAGTTGAGATATAGATCCTTACAAGAAACTTATCTATACATGTTCTCTCTACCAAAATCTGCAGAGAAGAGCACAATTTACTCAGTTTATCCTATTATATGAAATGTATTCATGTAATGTTTAATTTGGATATTTGCAAATAGATTTTGCTATTCCTAGTCTAACAGCATAAATAATATCTCGTTTTGGACATAAAAGATTTTTTGTCTATCAATCTGTTTTGTCTGCTTCCAGATGCTTTGTTCTTATTCAGAATTATTTTTCTCTTCTTTATAGATTTTCTGTCATCTTCTAGGTATTGCCTTTATTCGAGGTTTTATTATATTCAGATTTTTCTCTTCTTTCTTATTTTCTAGCTTTTTCCTCCGTCAAAATTGACTTAAATTTGTTGCTTGTTTCTGGCTTTCTTTTCTCTTTGTGCTATATGGTTACTTCTAACTTGTTTCAGCTTCTTCTGATTTCATTCAGGTTCCCTTCGTATACTTTTCTCTCTAAAAAATATGACAGCACATTCATTCTAATAACATTGGTAGTACAAAAACAGTTATCCCATCAACATCAGAATTATATACATATATGTACATATAATATTGTTGAGGTTGCTAGTACAAAGGTTGTGGTTTTTTGCAAATAGTTTGCAAAAAGGTACAAACATTAAAAATTTAATCAAAGCCATAAAGACTTTAAGCATTGATTAACTTTTGCATAGCATTCTTTAAGGACAGTAGCTGAATATATTATACTCAGCTTGTATAGCTTCTCTTCTGTCAAGTTTGCTTGTTTTAAGTTGCTCATCAACTCATCATGTGCATCACTTGGATGCTTTGAGAGTAGTATTGGACTCCTATACATTTATCATTGTAGACATAGTTAAATGACAATCCAAACATTTGTTTTTAAACCTTCTTTGACTATAATGGATTTAAAACGTGGAAATCTAAAATGCCATACATTCAGATGACCAAATCGATCGAATTGAATATTTATCGAAAACTGTAATCACTGATTTCCAACGTCTCTCTTACCCCTATAGTTAAAATACAATATTCTGAGAACCCTTACTTCCGGTGTAGTCCTTTTCATTAATAGCCCCAAATTTGTAGTGTGCTACAATAGGCTTTTCTCAAAAGACGTTGCTGTTATTCGTGATTAGTCTGATACAAAAAATTTGGGCATACCTGTTGAGTACTAGAGCTTGAGTGCTTTGTTGTTCTGCAACAATATATAGAAAAAATTGTTCAAGATATATTAGTACTAGAAGTTTCGACGCGTATTACAAGCATTAGAATGTAAAAGATTGTAAAAGACTTAATATTGGATTTAAAATAATTTCGACGGTAACATTTCGATGCCAGCAATAAAGTTCAAATTTCTGCCTTAGCATCAAAGTTGTAAACCAGCAATTTTCAGTGTTAGTCTGTCATATTTATTCATGTATCAAAGCGGCAAAAACTGTGCGTTTCTTTAATACCAACATAACTGGGATTGAACAACTTGAACCAACACGTATAACGTAGTATCCAGAAGGATGTAACTTATTGCCGAGTAAACATTTTTGCAGAATTGAATTCTAAAGACACATAATACAATACCCATTTAGAAAGCGTAACATCACCTTTATATATGTCAAGAGTTCAAAGGCAATCAAAGAGCGAGTTGAGTTAAGCGTTAAAACTTACGCATGTCATAAAAACGCAGAATGAAATAATCACCAACTTCCTATAATAAGACTTAGATTTCAATTTTTTTTCGAAAATAGCAATTTGGCAGATTGTCTGCAGATAATTTGTTAACTAATAATTAACTCTGCAAATAGCTGTTGCATTAGAGAACATAGATTGTATTGATACTCAAAGACACATGATGTTATACGCATTCTGAAATAAGAAAGAACATTTTGTTAAAGCCGAATTTGATACAAGAACATTTTATCTTTTAAATTATACCAAAACTTGTTCTTTGTGATACGAAGTGTTATGAAATATTAGGAGTAATTAAAATGTTTGCAAAATACTTCAATATAAATCTTATTATACAGGGTGATTTATTAGCTCACCATCAAACTTTGAAATATGATAGCTAATCCAATTACCAAAAAAAAAAATGTTAATGAACATATGTCCTATTTCAATTATTTACGAAATTATAACACTTTAAAGTTTTAATTTTTATATCATAATTAACTGGCAAGGTACATGAAGTACCTTACATATAAAGTTAATAAAATATTGTTGGTTACATAAAGCTAACATTTTTATATTTATCAGACAATATTTTAAGTTTACTATCAAACTACCTTTACAACTAATACTAATAAGTAACAACTAACCAGTATTCTAAAATCTAAACAAAAATAATCCGGATTTGTTTCCGTGAATCCTGATACTCAACGATCACTACTTGCAAAATCATTAAGAAAAAAAATCTCTTGACAACTTCATAATATTAATCTTCATCAACTTTGAAAAAACAAGAAGATCCCAAATCATCTTTACGAATTACCATTTTCGAATCTATTTATCCCACACACACGGCCAATCAAATATGAAGATTGAATATGGTTCATAAAACAATACCCTCACCGATCCGTTCGTGTCTAATTCTTCACTCCACCAACTCTAATCTGATCGGTGAAGATTATCATATCACGTGTACGTGCAGCATTAGAGACACACCTATACCTCGATTATAGAATTAAAGGTACCGCGCGAAAATCCGTTTACACGAATAAATCCCACGTTGAATCGATCAATAAACACTCATCGTTCTCTCTACGCGTCGCAATATGCAAATTTGAACAATTCCTATTGTGCTTGCAGCTATTCGTGAAAATCCGGAATTTCAGTTTTGATGATGATGCAGTTCTGGTGGGATAAAAAAAGGTTTATACAAAAAAAGTACTGGATATTAACCGTAAATTATTGTAGTTGGTTTTTTTTGGAGGTAATTGTGAATTTTTGTGTAATTTAATATTAATAAAAATGTGTAACCATAGTGTAGTATTAAACCATAGTATGTGTATACAGATGGGTCGACAAGGACGCGAACAACGTTCAGCTGCCGCCGGCGAACGGAGATTGGTCGACGGGGGGCCCTTTGTGCACTAACTGCAGGGGCCGACCACGGCTTGGCCCCTCCGGGGCGGGACTCGCGCTCAATGCCTCTCGGTTACATATGTTATCTGTTCCGAAACGGCAACGTAACAAATCGATCCGAATTTCGCGTACGCCTTTTTACGTCAAACACTTTTCCCTTCCTCTTTCTTCACCCTAACCCAAATTCAGTAAACCCCCCATGTCTTCCTATTTGTTTTTCACATGATGGATGGATGAACTCTCTCTTTTTTTAGGCATGATAAAAACGGACTTGGACACTAGAATCCTGGAGATGAACATAAAGTTTATAGGTTTTAATTGCTTGTAAACGACTTTAGAGAGGTATAAACAGGTTGTAAAGATGTGTCATAAAAAAGACCGGATTTATTTTTTGTGTCTTTTAAGAATTTTTAGGATGCATACCAAAATTGGTGTAAAAATTAAAAATTTAATGTAAATCAATAAATCAAAGTACATCTCGGTTTCGATATAATGTACAAAACTTAACCACGCCCTAATTTTGAATGGGGCGAAGTCAAATCCGTTGGTGTGTAATGATGCGTGGTTCTTTCACTACAATGTGAAGAACGGAGTCCCGAGGGTCGGAATAACAACGGTGTTAAAAGTCGCATGGACACCCCTCGAGGACCCTCCGCGGTTTGAATTCTATTGTTGAACCAACCCACAGAATTATTTCCCACTTACCGTTTGTTATATCGAATACCTTCTTGTTATTTCCAAAGTTAGATTTTTAAAACGGTTTCGATATCGAAGATTATCATTTTAAACAAAAATTCATTATCAGGGTTGATGTGGTGCAAATATTTCCTTCTCATGATTCGTCTTCAAGTTTCTCGGGTCAAAGTTCACAGCTTGGGAGGCCTTCTACAGATAACCCTTTGTGTGTCGATCAACAATAGTTCGATTGTCGATGATGCCGCACCGTGGTCAAAATATTATATACTCCTATCTTATATTTTAACTTTGATTGACAAGAATGTTAAATCTATTATTTTTTTTTATTTTCTTGAAGAGTATAAAGAGAAAATTATATGTAACCGTGCAAACTTATAAAGCGAAAAGGACGTTGGTCTTTACGAAGAGTTGGTTTTACGAAGCTTCATTACTAACATTGCTTTGCTATACAGGTAAACGTCGTTTTACGCCCGGGTTCCGTTCCCAGAGACACCGGCGTAAACAAAATCGGCGTAAAATG